TGCTTTGCTGTGCCGCAGTGCTGTGGCCGAAGGTGCGATTTGCCGTTGGCGGTTCGTGTCACGGTCCGCTGCGCCATCTCCGAATCGTCAACGACAAAGGAGAAGTGTATTTGGGGGGGGTGGAGACTGGGTACAGAGGGTGCGATGGCCTGCCGAGCGGAGTCATGGACGAGGAGTGGGAAGATCGGCTCTTGTTTTTCGTGGTGGCGATCATGCAGTGGGTTAGTCGCCGTAATGTGGCAGCCATGGCCGTCCTTGAGGCGGCTTCTCTTTTGCCACAGTGACAACGAATTGGAGATGTCCATGACCATGCTAGGCGGCGGCGTTTGCCATATCCTTTCCATGTTGTCCGCCTTGTCGACCGGTGTCGAGGACCTCGTGTGGGGCAGGAGGAGAGTGTGGGTGCTAGAAAGGAGCGGTGGTGTGTGGAAGGACCTGCAGCACCTGGGGGAACGACATGAGAGGTGTTCAAGAGGTTTTGCAGGCTGCCGCGTCTTGTTTTCAACGATATTCTGCAGCGTATCGGACCTTATATCCAGCGAGCTACGACGAATTGGAGACAGCTGTTGCCCGCGGAGCAAAAGTTTGCTTGTGCGCTGGGCATTTCAAGGGATAACTAAGAGTTACTGCTGGGACGACGCTGGTCGGAGTTGAGGTGAGTCGTGTTGCCCTGTAACCCGAGCCCGTGGGGGTGTGAGACCTGGAATAGCTTGGCAGGGAGTAAGACAGTGTTGGAGAATTTTAGAAGGACTTGCTAGGGATTCCGAGGGTTTTGAGCATTTATAGGACCTTTGTGATGGCGATTTTTGCTTCTAAAACTCCAGAATTTTCTTAGCCAAAGCCGGGTAATGGGCCCGGTAGCTTAAAAAAAGAAGAGGGGTTCCTTTAGTCCCTTTGTGGAGATTAGAAGGAAACTGCTCATATTTTTTCAGACTTTTTCATACTTTTTCTTAATTTTAGCCTATCCTCTGGGTTTCTTCAGCGAATAGGCTAGTGATTGCTCATGATCCTTTTCTTCAGACAAAGCCGGGTTGAAGTCCCGATATCTCAAAAACAAAATTATGTATGTGCTCTCAAATATGTTTCATGTTCCAAATGGGACGCTGGGCCCGATTCCCAGCACGTGTGGAGCATTGGAGCATTGGAGCATTGGAGCATTGTCCCAAAAAAAAAAAAAAAAGGTGGGCAGCGGGACGGTTTTACAAACAGTCGGGTCATGGTCTGGGTATGGGACTCGCGAGTGCCATGCGGAGCAACAACGATGTTGCTGAGGCAATCATCAGGGAGTATGGAAACGTCTTGGCTTTTCCAGAGGGGCATTGCCTACAAGAGGTCATGGACGCCTTTGAAAGGAAGGGTTTCCCTGGCTGTGTGGGTGCAATCGATTGCACACATCTGTCCATAGAGAAGCCCAGGAATGAGCACCCTGCATGCTCCCATGACCAAAGAGGGCAATTCTTTATCATTGCGCAGGTCGTGTGCGATCACGAGTGCCGTATTCTCGACGTGTACGTGGGATGTCTCGGATCATGCCATGACATTCGAGCCCTCAAACTTTCAACACTCACAAGCGGCTACGACAACTGGTGGGTATTCTACACGGCAAGCCTGCCACACTTCTTGACGGGAGCATCATTGATCGGTACCTCTTGGGTGATGCCGGTTATCCGTTGTTGTCTTGGATCATGACGCTGCATCCTACGAACAGACCTCGCACTCCAGGTGGTGTTCGATGACATGCACATGACGACGAGGAGCTGTATAGAACCACATTCGGGCTTCTAAAACGAATTTGGAGGAATTTTGGGCGTCGGCACATGAGCAATCTGAAGACAATCTGTAAGGAGTTCATGGCGTGTTGTATACTCCACAACATTTTGTTGGATTACAAGGTGGACATCAATGGTTTGGCTGGTGCTGACAGCGATGATTCCGATGGTGACTCCGGTGACGAGTGTCCTCAGCCTCCTCCTGCCCAGCCACTGCAGTATGAAGGGAAAGTTGTGACGCCCAACCTCACGCCCGACGCGACTTCCTGATCGGAGTGGGATGGGGGCCTGGAAGTGCGAAGAGGGGTGTGCCAAGGATTTTTGGGAAAGTGGGGGTTGAAGTCCCAGGTCGGARMYGGGATYYTYTGTGGCCGAGTTCAAGGGTCGTGGGCGCAATACTGCCGTAGGGCAGGGCAARCACGCRATTACCRCCTATCKCATCGCTTYGGGTTTGATGGGGACCACCGGGGTGYGGGGGACTGCCGYGCGTCCTGCYTGGGGACTCGAAARGGGGTCGATTGTTGGCCACGCCGYGGGTTATGGGCGCGCTGGTCAAAGCGAGGAGCACRCGGGTAGCGCCTGAGTAAACACTCTCTGCACGGTTCAGGCCAATACGCGGCTATGACCTGCCAGGGCACCACTGTGAGCTGGTGATATGGGAGGAGAACACGGAAGGGAGGGTAATTAGTGGCGACAACCACGAATCCGGGAGAGGTGTAATATTGTGTGTAATCCGGTTCGGGATAGTCTGCTCCGCGCGGATCGTTGGTTATCGCCCGATGGAATTCCCGCTCGCACACTTGGTTTCTCGTGTAATTCGGGAATTCCGGATACGCTCCTCGCGCGCAATAGTACTCCCATCGGGATTCCTGAATCCAGGGCTCAAAGTATTCCCTATCCCAAGATGTGCTAGAGCCTGAGGACCGTGTCATCATTGCGTGCGGTTCTCAGACATGGGTTCTCGGATATGCTCGACGTAATTTTTGGGTCGGGATGATGACGTCGATTGCGAACTCAAACAGACAATCTGCACATACATCCAGCCTAATGATAGCGGGCAACTAATTCTGTCTACACATCACGATGCAATCAAAACTTCACGAGGTTGTGAGCAACTAATCYCATACATTAGTGAGGCGCAAGAGGAAACRATGCKCATTCCATCCATTCATCCGTGTCGACAAAAAGGCAATCAAAAGAGAAGGAAATGCAGGATGCGCCAATTCAGGCGAAAACCAAAACAGAGATATCGAATCGAAGGATAGGGGGCA